AGCAAAACCTAAATGTCGATGCTGAATATCTGTTTTTAAGTACAAGGAGTACAAATGGTCTTGCTGATCACAAAGTTAATCTTTACTAACTGGAGGTTCTGAATTTTTATATCACCAAGGACAATTAAGTATCAACTTTGTTCATTCATCGTCTTCCACTTTATCCGGGACCAGCGCCTTCAGCTTTGCTGTGGGACGCCAGAGGCCCTCCCAGGCCAGCTAAGAGGCATAGCCATTCCATTGTGTCCTGGGTCTTCCCCTGGGCCTCCTCCAAGTGGGACGTGCCTGAAACACCTGAGTGAGGCGTCTAGGGGTAAAAAGATGTCTGAGCCACCTCAGCTCTCCATGTGGAGAAGCAGTTCTACCCCGACCCTATTCTGACAGAGCTCCTCAACCTCTCTTAGTGAGAACCCAGCCACTATGAGGAGAAAACAAATTTCTGCTGCTTGTATCCGGGATCTCGATCTTTCAGTCATGATCACGTCATGTCATGTCATGTCACACCAGTCCGTCTATAGATCTCCCTCTACTTTCTCCCCTCACTCATGGGTAGGACCCAAAGATATTGGAACTTCTCCACTTGAGGCAGGAACTCTCCAACCTGAAGGAAACAGGCCACATAACCATGTCCTCTGACTTGGAGGAGCTAATGGGGGAGTGGCGGTCCCTAAGCAAAGACCCTTAACCCCACACTGCTCCCCGGACACCGCACATTAGCAGCCCACTGCTCCCCAAGGGGATGGGTTAAATACAGAGATAAATTTCTCCAATGTGAGATAAATGAAGTTCAATTATTATTATCATTTCTCATCTAGAATGCTTGACATTCACCTACAAACCTCCCCAGGGCATTCTTTAGGTCTTGGCAGGTGGGAGCCACAGCCACAGAACCACATCGTCCGCCCTTGGCTGCTCCTAGAAATCCTGTCCATAAAGGTCATAAACAGGACTGGTTACAGACGGCTTCCCTTTCAGAGTCCAAAATGCACTGGGAACAGGTCAGACTTAATGGTAACGGTGCTGACCAAACCCTCTGCATGTACAGAGAACCAATAGCCCCTAAAGGGCCACTGCGTCCTTACTCCTGAAGTGCCCCCCACAGGGCACAATGGGCAGTGTTGTGCCTGAACGCGTTCATTGAACGAAAGTTCATGAACTCGTTCATATTTTGGGCGAACGTGAACTGAACGTACTGCATTACTGCCTGATGAACGTTATTGTGAACTCGTTCATTCTGGTGTCTGCTCTCTCAGTTCAACTCCGTTCAATAAGTTGCCAGATTTCTATAGAGCCCTCCAGGCGAAACCCCGGCCAAATCACACCGTAAACAGGCCTTAATATGTAGCGGGAAAAACACCCAATCTGGCAACACCAGCTACCAGCGTCGTAGCCTACAGCCGCGTGAGTCATCAGAACAAAATGCAGCGTGGAAGCCACAGCAGCATGGAGGCGACAAAGCAGCAGTATGATCACTTAAAACAGGTTTATGACCAGGTGGTCGGTGAGGATGATGGCAACAATCTGACATTTCTCTGCAAACTTTGCCCGCCGGCTTTCAGTAAAAAAATCTGCACTTAAAGCTGCCTGGTATAATTTTCCAGGATTCCTTTTTAGTATGTACTGAAATGGAATTTCAAATGGAAAAATAATAATAATAAAAAAAAACATTTGCACCTTAAAGACTACTTTCCTGTTTTTCTTTTAATAATTCCTCATAAAAAAGACCATTCAAGCAGCACATTTTTCCTGATGTTTTTGAGAATATACTGTAGGGGTGAAAGCTGCAGCTGCTACTAGTGTGAAGTGAATGGACAGCAACAAAGCATTAAAGCAACAATGGGGAAATGCTGTCCCCTCAATGCTAATGTAAACCCTGGTTGGATAAGGATTCAAAACTGGATATGAAGATGAAATCTGACGCACAGTTTCAGAGTTACAACTGATAAAATAATTGCTGTCTGTGGTTCTACAGTAGGCTATGGTGTAATTGAGCAATATATGAAAAAAAAAAAAAAAGAACTATGAACTAGTTCATTTTTTGGAACTGTGAACTTAGTTCAAAATTTTGAATTATGAACTATGAACTGAACTAGTTCATTTTAAAATGTGTGAACTGAACTTTGAACTAGTTCACGTAGAAAGAGAACTTTCCCAACACTGACCATGGGGTATGGCTAAACCACTTCTCCAGGTCCACAAAACACATGTGCATCAGTTGGGAAAACTCCCATGAGCCCTTGAGAACCTTGCAGAGAGAGTGTAGAGCAGGACTAAAACCGCACGGCTCCTCCTGAAGCCCAGGTTGGACAACCAGCCCCACTCTCCTCTCCAGAACCCAGGCATAGGCCTTCCTAGGGAGGGTTAAAAATTTGATCCCTATATAATTGGGACACCCCTTCTGGTCCCTTTCTTATGCAGGGGAACCCCCACCCCGGTCTGTCATTCGAGGGGCACGGTCCCAGACCTCCACGCAAGGTGTGTCAACCACAACATCCCAACAACATCCAGATCTCTAAGGTGCTTTGGGCGGATCTCATCTACGCCTAAAGCACAGGTGTCAAACTGGTTCCAGAAAGGGCCGTGTGGCTGCAGGTTTTTTTTCCAACCAAGCAATAGCACACTAGACTCCATCATCATCATCATCAAGTGAGTCCAATCTGAACATGATGACTTGAATAGATGACTGGAGTCTGTTGTGCTATTGCTTGGTTGGAAAGCAGACCTGCAGCCTCACGGCCCTTTCTGGGAACCAGTTTGACACCCGTGGCCTAAGTCTTGACACAATGGCAAGGCTTCGGGCAAGGCTTGTGACGCTAATTATATGTTCTTACATTTTCCTTCCCTATATTTTACTACAGGCTCAGGCATTCTCTTGTTAGTGCTGCTTCTATTGTTGAGCTAATGCTCTTTTTTAGCTTCATTGTCAGTCAGGGCAGCTGGCTGCAACTGGTCCTGCTGGAGGTTTATTTGTGTTAAAAGGG